GCCAACATATGTTGGCTCTTTGCTTAATTTTCTTTCCAACCATAGTTACAAAATTAAAATTGGCATTTTGAAGTCAATGACTATTATAAATATGAGGCTAGCGGACAGCAAATATTTGGCTGAAGAGTTAGAACGGTTGAAAAATGTATTCCTGGAAAGAAATTATTCTTTGTGGCTCTTTGAGAATAATATCCCTTTACTAAGGAATACATTTTTAGACGGAGATCATTTAGACAACGATAGACAAGCTGCGACCATTACCCATATCCTAATTTTACCATCATGCCTTCTTTCAAAAATGATATGCGAATTAGTAAGGAAGGGGTGATAAAAATAATGTTTAAAGAAACCCTCACACTTTCTTTTGATATACCATCTTTTAAAGATAAATATGACCCATTATCGAGATCCGGCTGATACAAGATTGTTTGCTCATATGGTCGATGTCATGTTGGTGAGACATGCCGATCTATTCTACAAAGATTGGGGGAACATAAAAATGCTTGTAAAGGAAACTGCATTCAACTGTTAGAAGTAGCCGAACACATGGTAGAAACTGGACATGAGATAAAGTGGTCTCAAACTAGTAGGTTTACTTATTATGTTGCATCTTTGGTTATTGTAATTAATAGCTTAGGAAATACGTTGAATGTGATGAACGGTGGTAGAGAGATAAGTAAGAACTATTTATTCTTGATTGAAAGTAGAGAGGTGTTGAACTTCCATATAAAAGAAGGTAACCAAAATAAAGATAATTAAATTCTATTTTGCTTAATTGAGACTATATCAGAGGTAAGATAGAGCCGGATAGTATTCTTTTCTTAGTGTTAACTTGAGAATTTTACAAGAATGAGTCCCAGCTATGACGCTGTCCATCATATGATGGATAAAAGCTCAGCCTGTTTTTACCTGAAAAGAGGGAGGAGGTCTCGTGGACTGCATAAATCTCAACGTCGTATTAAAGCCAAACGGTTGCAGTACGACGGGAACCAACCGTCCTTTTCTATAAGATCGTCCTTCTAATTTCTTCTTCATACACTTTCATACGCAATGAAAGTCCAAACAATATATATAAATTCACAATCATTAGCATATTTTACCCTCCATAGCATGTAATTACTCAGCAAAGACAGACCAGCATAGGAGTGTCCAACTCTAGTTTACTTATAGGGGAAAAAACTGCTTTGCCTTATTGACATCCACTTCCTGTATCAATCTCGCTTAACTTAGGTGATGTATAGTAAGTGCAGTGATCAGACAGCGCATGAAATACTTCATAGGGGGTTTTAAAAATAGGGTAATGGAGGTAAGCAGGAGTGCATGCAACCACCATTATTGGCCTCATACCTTGAAAAGTCAGATATAGCATAATTTTAAGCTCTAATTATGTCTGTTAGCAGACAAAATACCTTCAAAGATTGGTCGCAGTCGCAAGATGGTATGTGGAGGAGCTCTATGCTCAAATCAGAAGTCGAAACGAAAAGATAATTTTTCTACTAGAATAAAAGTTTTGATAACTTAAAACCATTTAGAAATGCTTCGCTATCCATGTTTTCTTCGTTTATACTAGATCTTGTATATTATTCCTCAGTCTATGGTAAGTACCGCCAAAGCCACTTACGATGGAGGCATCCAATCACATCTGGGGCCGAATTAAGCTTTAAGTAAGAGAAGAAGATGCATGTAATCTAATGAGTTAAAGCGGCCTTTAATAATGCGAAGAATATATCCCATTGGGAAAACCTCTACGTCTTTCTAACCTTCGACAGCACATCAAATTTATTTTACCTAGGCTTCAACCTACATTACACTGATATCCATAAAAGTGTAGCAGTAAAAAAGGATGATGATACTGGCTAAACTGTATTTAATCGCTCTGAAGCATAATTTAAAATGAGAGCATGCATAAAATTAGTGGATAGTAGAGTCTAAAAGAGAGTGCGACGATAGGATGTTTCAACGTTCTTTGAGGATTAAAAAGTAGGTCGAGGCTAAAGTATTTAATCAGAAGTGTGCATCACATTTATATAATCTGTATATAAAATCGCATAAGCCTATTTGAACAGTGTCATTATCACCCAAAATTCAATTTCATAGCAGAGATTTCACTATGGACATCTTAAATGTATATTGAAAGTATGTTACGAACGTTACTAAGCGACCATCTACGTTTACAACATGCATATATTGGATTAAATATACTATTAAAATTATGAGGCTCAATTCATAGGATCATTTGCTATTGTCTTATTCACATATGTTTAATTAATTCCCATCAAAAAATCGAGAAATTTAGTTATATACTTTCCTTAATACTACTTTTCCTGACTATATGGTGAAAATTATCAAGCTTTAGTAATACTATAAGTAGTTTATTCTCAATTTCACAACTTGATCTTGGTATCAAGGCGATCTAGATGAATGAACCTTATCTGAAGTCGCAAGGTAGTAATGACAATTTCCAGCGTTAGGCTATAAACTTGGTATATTACCTTACATTTAACTTGCATTGTAGACTGAATCTTCCGGCAGCCTTGCTCTTCCTACCACGAAGCTATAGATTATCGAAGCGACCTGTACTAAGAATGGCAAAGTTCAGTGACGATGCAAATTTTAATGCTAAAGGGGTGTTCAGAAACATACAAAGTCTAAGACCCGACGCTGAAAATCGTCATGGTTAGAGCATATGACTCTGCACAAGTTCTATTTATCAAGTTTGTTTCCACAACATTTCCTAGCCGCAAAAACAAGGTAATTCTACTTTTTTTAAAGTAAAAGGAGATTTATATTACAATAGAGAGAGAACCACTAGTTTCTATTTTTTGTATAAAAGTAAAGTTACTGGTAGTCTCGAAATTCTACTTATATACGAATAATAAGTAATCTAGTAGATTGTTATTTAAAAAAACGTTTTCTTCATCGACAATCCCACCAGGAATGTGATATGGGAAAAGGCCTGGCCTTCCTTGAAATTTACATCTGCCTTGTGACCCAAGAGTAATTATGGCAATTTATCCAAGTGGTTAATGTATCAAGCTCACATGCTGCATTGTCACAGTTCGAATTCCGCTGAGGGCGTTGATAAGACTTATGAGAGGTTGAAACTGCACTCCACCCTGGATGATAACAACTTTAGGGAAATCAAGGCTATATAAAATTCAATGAAAATATTATCTATAATCATATTATTGTGGGGAAATTCTACTACCATTCTGTCATCGCCTTAACGAAATAGGGTGAATACATCTTATACACTAGTTTCTATGCCTTCGCTAATTAATTTTGGCAAAACATATGTCTATAAGTCAATTCAGTAAAGTTTGTTTACATAATTATTTTATAAAGTCTATTCGTCTCTATTACTGAAATAACAATGTTAATGTTGTCTTTAAAAAGCCAAAAGCTTTTAATTCGTATTTCGGCGCCTTTATTGTCTTTTCTCGTGTTCTCATCCTCTAATGGACGCTGACTTGTATGATGAATTTGGCAATTATATAGGCCCTGATCTTGTTTCTGACGAAGATGAGGAGGATATTGAAAGTGTTCATGATGAAATCGATGAACTTGAAGAGGGTGATTCGGCTTCCGTACCTGCAGATGGAAATGAAGAATCGCTTGCAGTAAGCATTAATTGTCCTTGTTTACACCTACAGATAGTACTTCACGAAGATAAAAAATACTACCCGAGTGCAATAGAAGTGTTTGGACCTAATGTAGAGACCTTAGTCCAAGAAGAGGATGCTCAACCCTTGACTCTTCCATTAATAGAACCAAAAAAACGAAAGAAATTTGCCTATAAAGAAGAGTTTATTCCTCGTACAACATATAATTTTGAATATCTAACTGACTTGATGAATTATCCATTCTTTATTCGCAATATTACATTCTGTGGTCACCTTCATCATGGAAAGGTAGTTGATCTCATCCTATAACTTTCTAGACATCGTTCCTTGATTGTCTTATTGAGAAAACGCACCCAGATATAAGTGCAAAAGAAGATAAAGACGTAAGGCTCCTTATTTTTATTCTTTTTAGCTACGTTATACCGACTTCCTTAGAATGGAAGTAGAAAGAGGCATCAGCATTAAATCCACTCCCGTCACCTTGTTACTTCCCGATCTCCGGGAAAAAACCTTTCTTTTTAACATATTTGATACACCAGGTTAGCAATAGTAGAGACAGTTTCTGTATTAATTTATTGATCTTTATATATCTACTGATATGCATATCATTTATCTCGAACAATAATTTCTCAAAACTTGACACTTCCAATTTAGCATGTTTACCTGCTGGTCAAATTGTGCCACTGTCTAAAAGCGTGATTATTTCGCTTGATTTTCCCCATAGTTGGTTTTAGTACCCCTCCAGAATTCCATTTAATCTCACCGCAGTTTCTCCATTAGGTTTATCCTATGATTTTGGCATTCGGACTAAGTTGTTTGCAGTTGCTAAGTCGCAATCTTCAGATTTTCATGTCCAAATTTTGCGTACGATTCTTTCTCGATTCGCAGAGATTAATTCGATAACCATCCTAAAACCACAATGTCTAGTAAGTCATTACATCAGTGATTTCCATGGAAGCCCTTGATTATTTAGTCAGAAAATCACTAAATTAGTCAGTGTCTTTCCTACCTAGTACCTGATAAGTTGGTGGGGTAATTCATTTTATTTAAAAACATTTTAGAACTAGACCTTGCAAATTTGACGTTGGTATTGTACAAATTATTCGTGCTTCACCCACCTCATGTAGGGTTTAAACTTGTGGCTTCTCTATTTGAGTTTTGTGCTGGTTTGTGTATTATTTGCCTAAGCATTCAAATGAATAATGATTCCATATCCTTTTAGGGTGTTTTCATCCAACATGATAGAGTTTTCAATAGAAGGTATGAAGACCAAGATGGTGTGGCCTTTTGTGTGGTCGCAGTCTCCTTTCATCGTACAAAGGTTT